ATCTCAGAGATCACCGTTTAGTGTTCTACCTATTCAGTAGTATTAGTGTATTCTGGTCAGTAGCTAATGAAACAGCAGGAGCAAGATCACTTCTGGATAGTTCAACAGAATTGTTAAGCATCTGAGATTTAATTCCACTCTTTTTCTTAAGCACTTTTGGCCATAGATGGGTGTAATTTCTCTTTTTTGCCAAACTCTTCTGTGGGAAATGTTTGGGAAGATGTCTTGTATCCAAGGAATCATAGAACCATTTAGGTTGGAAAAAACCTCTAAAATCATCAAGTCCAAACTAAAGCTAGCATTGTGAAGTTCATCACTAAACTATGTCCCCAAGTGCCACATCTACATGCCTTTTAAATATCTCCAGCAAAGGTGACTTTACCGCTTCCCTGTGTCAGCCTGTTCCAGTGCTTGAAAACCCTTTTGGTGAAGAATTTTTTCATAATATCCAATCTGAACATCCTCTGGTGCATTTTGAGGCCATTTCCTCTCGGCCTATTGCTTGTTACTTGGGAGCTCTATTCCCATCTCACTAAAACCCCTCATAGAGAGCTAGATCATCTCCTTTGAGCCTCCTTTCCTCCAGGTTAAACATCCCCAGCTCTTTCAGCATAAAACTTGCTCTCCAGGCCCTTCACCAGCTTTATTGCCCTTCTCTGGACTTGCTCCAGCCCCTCAATGTCTCACTTATACTGAGAAGCCCAGATCTGTTTCTGTGATGGCAACAGATGCAGAATGACTTCCAACTCCTCTTAGTAGTTGTCCATGTGGCGTGCATTGGTGCAGATGTACTTCAGTCAGGCTATTGATCCCATCATCTTTTAAGAGTTTTTGAATGTCTGATTTGGATTTCCTATTGACTTTTGAAGTGCTTTAACCAATTAGAAGGTTTCTCTGGAGCCAACTGGGCACATATCTGGGTTGGACTGCTGTGCCCTGTAAGATCTTAAAGGCAGCTTTTTATTGAAATTTATTTTTGCCAATACTTCAAAGCTGAAAATGAGATTGTTCAGTTATTTCCTATTCCAAATATTGGGTAAAGCTGGATTAAATATTTAAAGACAGTAATTGCTGAAAAATATGTTTTGTAATGCCGAATGATGCATAATTAGCATTCCTAGACTTACTATTTAAAATATTTCTGGAAAGCATTCTAAGTGATGCAGAACTAAGCGTCAAATATGCATTTAATTTATGTCCAAAAAATGCTGCTGGCACAGTCATCCACTTAGGAACAAGTGGTTACTTGACTACTGAGCAAACGTGATACTAATGAATGGAGTATAACATCACGTAATTTTCTTATGTTCCTACCACAGAAAAAAACGTGGAGGGCTTTGATCCAAAGTAATCATGTTTCCTGTTTTCATCCACAAGTTGTACAGTTTCACCATGCTGTGTGGAAAAGCAGCTGGAATTACATACCCAGTGTAAGCAACTGCTATACAAGTTTGTACTCGAGAAGTAAATGAGCTCAGAAATATTTGTGCATTTGCTTAACAGAACCAAAACTACTTACTAATTTGTCAGTGTATCTATGCCCCATATAATCATGAGAATCATGTGATTTAATCAGAATTTTATGCCCAGTGGCATAACTTTCAGTCTTCAGTTGTAACTGGTGTGCAGCTAGCACATGAAATGAAATTGGAAAGGCAAAACTGCATTCAGCAGAGTAGTTTTTATTATCCACCTGCACAAATTTAGAAATTTGCTACAGAGACCAGAATTAAGAGTTTCATCTCCATTGCTCAATAACTAATTCAAAGTGGGAAAAGCTGTATGCAAAATAGTGGGAATACTGATATTTTCATTACCACATTTTATCAAACAGAAGGTGAGTCTCATTAGAGGAGATGTTAAATGTCCTGCAATATAAATATCATAAGTTTAAAATCACTGTGCTCAATTTTGGGTCTGCGCTGCTTCATTAGCAGAGAAACCATGTGATGCCACATTCAGGCCTTTCTTATGACTGCTTTCTATCATTGTAGGCAGAGAAAATATCCAAGAGGCTGGATGCTCCAGCACTGGCTGTGGTGTGATCCAGGGGCAAACAGCAGTTGGTCTCTGTTTTGGAAGTGGGGAGATGAACAGGGAATCAACGAATGACCACAGAAATAATGCTGGGAGAGAAATCCCTGTAGAGTGATTGCATGAGAAATTAAGTGAAGCAAAAAGGTGTGACAGGAACTCAGAGAGACTTGATGTACCACTTTATATAAAATTCATTTCAGGTAATACTACTTAAAATAGAATTTCTTACAAAAAGCTAAATATATATTCTCTTACCCATTATATAATAACAGGGAAAAAGCCCATTTTCTGTAAATCATTCATAATATGTACTGAGGAGATCATGTATCATGGGACACCCTTGAAAAGGTTTGCAAACTGCGGCAGTATCTGAGATTGTCTGCTCTAAGACCTAGCAGAAGGATAATTTCTTAGGTTAAAATTCTCATTATTACATGTAAGGACATTATGGTACTTGGAAAGAGAATTTTTTATTCCTTGCAATTTTATGTAATAGTATTTTATCCAGCAAAATAGGAAGGCATTCAAAACAGCAGTTTTACCCCAGACTTCCCTTCAAAATCTGTTTTTTTTTTCTCTAGTTAACGGCATATATACTTCATATTTATTTATTTATCTATTTATTTATATGGAGATATATTATATAAGCTTTATCAGTTATCGAAATATATCTGCAGGAATTTAGCAACTGTTGTTAATAGTTAGAAAAAAACATCTATATTCTATACTTTTATGTGAATATTCAATTTCTTTTTTTTTTTTTAACAAAAAATAAGAATGTAGCTGCTCTCTTGATAAGTCATTGAAAAAAGGACATAATTGTGAGAGGCCACCAAGAATTATGCTATAGTTTAAGCATCTTTTTGCTTAACTTGCACGTGAGTATTTAAATTCTGCCTGGGAAGCACTTCCCAATTAAAGCATGTTAGAAATCAAGATCTATTTCTCCTTAAAAATTGACCAAAATAATTAATTTCAATACAAAGTAATGGGAAGAAAAGAAATAGCCTTACTGAACTACAATTCTTGCACCCTTGGGGGAATGGGAACAGAGGGTTTTACTACAGATCCAGGACTGTTATGCATTATTTTTCCTCACTGTCTCTTGTCCTGTCTTTCAAAGGCAACAACTCCCCTTTTCTGGACCAGAATACAGATTTTTTGGGATACTTCTTAAATTTTTTTTTTTTTTGATCCTTTAGATGTGTATAGATGTGGGGTTATGAGATTCCATGCAGAAGGATGCATGAAGCCAACTGAGCCAGAAGGGAGATTGTTGTTCTGCTCTTGTGAAGATACTGGTGTTTCTCACAGAAACAGTAGCTGCAGGAAAAGGATAGAAGTGCATCAGAAAAGTTGGCCAGTGGCTGTACTGTAAACATTATAGGGGATCAGGCTTTATATAAACTGCATATAATATATGAATTAAATATAATATAGTGAGACAGCCTGTCTCACTAGTGCTGGATACCAGATTTTAGTACATTGTTGTGCAGAATTTGAAGCATTTTTAATTCTCATGAAAGTTTGTAGTGAAATAGAGGATATGTCTTGTTTGCATTTTGTCATGGGAATTAGTCTACTGTTTATGGACTGTTTAGAAAAGAGCCTAATTCTGGTCTGAAATGGCTTATGCAAGAGAAAACTATTTCTATTGTGGTTATTTTTCAGTTAAATACATTTTTTCATCAGTTGAAAGTGTACAACACAGATGAATAGTACTGAAATTATGTTTTTATGGAGTTATATGAAAATCCTGCAGTGCTCTCTGTCTTATTTGTAGTTAATTATCTCTAGAGAGTATGTTTAACTTTTTTTTTCTGTATTTTGGCACAAGAGGGCGATTAGATGTGTTACAAATGCATACTTTTGGTGCAATCTGGAAGTAAAACAGAACGTATCAGAATTCTAACTAAAGAAAGAAATGAGCTTTTGTAAACATATTTTTCAGTGTGTTAAGGACATATTTGATGCTTTTCTCATACACAGTGTGTCTTAGCAGATGGAATGATCCAGCTGAGCAACCTTCTCTGCTTATAGTTTTCTACTCAAAATAGTACAGTTTAGGTTAATGATTGTTTTATTTGGGTGTAAAGACAAAATGTAGGTAATGCAAATAATAAGGATAAATGAACATTATCAAACAGGAAAAACAAACTTTCAAGGCTTTAGAGGTAGAACAGATCAGCTTTCATCAATTCCTGAATGTTGTTTTTGTCTTTGAAAGCCAATTACTTTTGTTTTTTTATTTCTGCTAAGATAAATTTGGACATGTGAGTGTTAAGTATCAATTTGCACATTTGGGTCTTGAAGACAGGCAAGCAGAACATTATCTAATTGCTTCAATCACAATTTTTCACTGCAAGAAAATGGCAAATTAAAAGTTTTCTCATTTAGTAGACAGCTTCATCAGAAACAATGCAAATAAGATATAACACAGTTTCATGGTCAATGTGTAGATCTCTCTCATAAATTCAGATTAAGTAGTCTTGAAGCACATTAAGAGAATTGTTAGATTTGTGAATCCAGTCCTTCCCTTAGAGTCTTGTGTTTTCTTTAGTATTCAAAGTGTGTGATGGGAAGTAAAAAGATGGATTTCCCACCTTTTTTCTCACATCTGTAAAACAAGTTAAACATTCATCACCTCAAATCATCCCACCAGAATGTCATGGATCAATGACTTGGTATTGCTGCTAAGCACTGTGAATACACAAGTGCATTTCATTCTTTCATACCAAGCACTACACTAAAATGTGTTCTTGGTTTGCATGAGCATCCCTAAATCCTTACAAAAGTTATTTGAAGAAAGATCTCTCTTGTATGAATTGGGAGCAAATTAAAGAGGAATATTTTCAGTCTGAGTTTAGGATTTAGGTATCATACACAGTGATTATATAATCAGTTGTGAATCTGATGCATTGTGTATTTTTCCTTTATGTATCCTTTCATCTTTATATTTACAGATTCTTCAGTGAGAAAGAGATTTTCAGCACTGACTGGTGAGTATACTTGAGGTTTAGCTATGTTTTGGTGTGGCATTTCACTGTGTTGCAAACTCTCATGGCAGGGACAAAACAGTGGAGACCACAATTTGGTTTAAGCTATCTGTTTCACAACTTCCCAAACCTCATATGAATGGTTTTTCTGTCAGTTGAAGTTGTTTCAAATGCTCCTAATCTTAATTAACACTTCATAAATTATGATTTTTATTTTTCTCTGTCTTATTTTTTTCAGTCCTTTTTCCACAAGGCATGCTTTGAGGTTCACAGTGTTTCTGGCTCTCTCTGGGAGAGCTAACAAGAAATCCCAGTAGATATATGATGATTCATTTTGCACAGAAAAGGAACAAAACTTATGGATGATGTCTTCTCAAGCTAGGGAGTTGTAACAGCTATAGTTACCAATCTGTGAAACCTGGAGTTTTCAGGTAAAATATTCCTGAGTAAATGTAGCTCTTTCCTTCTTCAGTAATCAATGATGTTAGAGCAACCTGTAGAGAGCAAGAGTGCTTGATGACATTTACCAGGCCTTGCTACTCTGAAGACTGATCACAGTCTTACAATGATGCCATTGAAATGAGTAATACCATTCAAATCAGAAGAATCAGTGATGTCAGCAACAAGCCTCTTCCTGCAGATGTGTGGTATTGACTTGCCTTTACTTAACCTATTCTTGATATTCTTCTATGGCCAAGATTATAATTTATTTAGTAATTAATTTATTTTTAGTTTTTTTGAGGATAAATTTTTCTTCCTGGGAGCTTGAGGAAGCCCCTAATACAGCTGATCTTCATTCCAAGCTGGCCCTAGGAGCTGCCTGATGGGTAAGTCACAGAAGAAGCCAGAATCTGTCGGCACTGGTGGCTGCAGCTGCATTCCCAATTGGAAACTACTCAGAGAGAGGATGCTGGTTTAGGAATCTGTGTGCACAGTTCTGCAGGACTCTGGCTGGAGACAGACTGAATAACTGAACTGAGACTGTAGGCTAGGAAAGGTGGAGTTTTATTCACCCACTGGTTGTTTATCATTGTTAGAGTTACTAAAGTAAAAATAGTTATTTTGGAACTGCTTTTCAACTTAAGTTACAGTTAAAGAATATAAGATATACTTCTTACAGTTTAAAATAACAATGGCATAAAAGGAAATGTTAACTTGTAGATCTTAGAAAACATAAAGACCTATGATTATGAAAGCTGAAATGTTTTTAAACTTATAGGAGTAATGTACTGAATGAATAGATAAACTTTACCACTTGGATTCACTAAAGTGTAAGCTACTAGTATTAATCTTTCAAAAGAATACTGATCTTTTATATATAATACTTGCAGCAATATCGAGACATCTCATTGCTGCACAGCCTGTTCTTTCAAATAAATACACAAGTGTGCTGTCACACAGCCTTCTAGTTTCCTGACAGTTAACACCAATATGTATTTGAAAACTCACTCACCTATTTTTGGAAATTACATTTGATAAAAGATTATTCTCTACATAAAAAAAAAATAATTTGTATTTTGTTCATTGTTTGGAAGTGAAGTTAGATCTTAGCACTAGTTCTTCCTTTAGTGGATGTAACTGACTTGATTTAACATCAGAAATATATCTCAGTGTTTATTTTTTTAACACTTATCTGAATTTTGCTTGAGTTTATTTCAAACTAAGCCTCCAGGCAGTGTGTCTGCTCATATGATTAGAGGTTTTTTTTGTGGTTTGTTTTTTTGTTTTTTTCTTTCTTTCTGAAAGCAATACAAGTCCAAGGTATTTTCGTGCTTCAGTTAGAGGTTATTTGATGCACTTTAAAATAAGTATCTCTTAAATAGTTTACAAAAACTGACTGGATAAGATGAAAACAATAGTATCTACTCTGATTGCAACCCATGGACTACATTGACCCAAAAGTGTTCTGCATCCAAATTACTGGACAGGTGCAGGCTAGTGAAAAGCACAACCATAAGATTTGAGTTTACAAATAGTATCTTCCTTAAATATGGAATTATACTTCTAGGAAAGATTCCATAACCCCATTTCATCTGTCTTCACAGTGCTGTAAAGCCAGGTGATGGGTACATCTGTCCTGAGGAGGAGCACAGACCTCGGGGTTTTTGTGGGGTATATGAGAAGTCTCCTTACCTGCCCTTGAATCCAAGATTTTCTTCCCCTCACAGCAAAAATGAGATGTGAACACAAACTCAGTAACAAGGCTGAATTTAGTTCCAAATGCTGCGCTGGACATCAAGGACTGAGTGAGTGCATTGTTAGACTGCAGGGGCAGAATGCAGAATCCAGCAGAATTATAGCTTGATTTTTTTTACTGGGAGAGTGATATTACAAATTGGTTTTTTGCTTGTAAATTATCCTTTCTGTTTCAAGTGGTATCTGTAAGAGTGACCATTGTATCTGTTATCATTTTTTGTAAGTGGGGAGTTCTCAACTGTAATTATTTTTATTATTATTATTTGCTTGGACGGATTGGATTTGCAAACTTGGAATGTGAAGTTTCAGACTTTTTTTGACACTTACTTTCATGTATGTGTACTGAAGAGTAACTCTATGTATCTAAAACAAGATTAACCCCAATGCTGGCATGATCATTTAAGAGTGAGAAGAAAGAGGTGTTAATGACAGAAGAGGAGAAAGTAATGCTATTTTTAGTGAGAGATTGGATATAAAAGGGAAATAGAAGGGTTAGAGATAACAGTGATATGTGGAAAAGGCTGACAGTGAAATACAGGTGTTCTTATGTAGAGACTGAGATATGGTCCAGAAATCTAAGAGAAGTAATTTGAGAAAGAGAGCAAAGGGGAAGAGTTCAGTGACCACATACGGCTGATTATAAATGTAGAAAAGGGATAAAGAGTTCGCTGAAATGCAGTTGAAAGGTCAGTGACTGTCATTGTTATAAATGAAAATTTGTCCAGCCAAATTAATATGAAAAATAAAATATTTATTTTACAATCAAATTCTATCTAGCCAGCCACAAGGAAAGAACAGAGCCGAGCCCGGGGTCGGCCCTGGGTGTGCAACAAAGAGGTCAGCCTCAGCAGAGGTTTTCCTCTCTGCCCACACACCTCCATCCTGGCACAAGCAAGTTTTATAGGGATAATTCCGCTTGAGGCTAAGATTTTTGTAATTAGTCCTTTCTTCTATTCAGAGTTCATGTGTTAATAATTCAGTGTCTGGAGTTTGTTGAATCCACATTGATGTGTCTGGGGATTCCAGAGATATCCATCTCGGGTCGTTCACGCGATGATCAGCGCCATGGCCCATCGTCTGGCGTCTGGCTAGCTGTATCTTCTCACTTGTAAATGAGCTTCTTAACATACACCTGGCCTCGGAGGGGAGGGGGGGGGGGGGGCTAGTACAAACAAGTATTTAACATTATATATTTCATATAAGGAAAGGCGCAAATTATGTCTATTACCCATAACAATCCCCCACCTTCTATATTAACCCATTAATTTGCGCCCTAATTTCTGCCTCTACTGAATTCCAAGATTTCTTTTATTTTTATTCGCTTTCATTTATTACATTTGGAATTTCCTGGTAAACTTTATAGTTTTGTTCTTTATCTTTTATTCGTCTTTCAAATTTTGCTAGGGCCTCAGCTGCCAGACCTTGATGTGGCTGGTGGAATTCATGGATAGAGTGGAAATGTAAGGAGTATATCCTACAATTTCTGAATATAACCTTCCCTCCCTGCTAAGGCAGAATGTTCCAATTACCCGTTGATCTAGTACCCACCCCTCTGGTCTTTGAATTATTTTGGGGGTCTCACTAGCTTCCTATTTTAGTAGTTGCTTAGGGGTTAATCCCTCCCCTCTCTAAGGCCATTTTTCTGTGGATTTCAGCCCCCCACAGACCCAGCAATTAGACAACTTCAATTCTGTGGCAATTTCCTGCATCAGATCTACAAAAAGGTTTTGATCAGAGGCAGGCAATCTCCACTTTGCATATTGTTTTTTCAATTGGTCATATTGTTCGCTTAGGGATTTCAGCTTTTTTTTGTTCTAGTCTCTTTTTTCTTATTTCAGCTTCCTGTCTTTTTACCTCTTGCATTACCTGTTTCATTTTACTTTCCGGATCCATCCCTTCTTTGTTTTTGGTAAAACAGAACATCTTATCATACTGTAGACAAACCCTGTCGTCCTGGTTCCTTAAGAGGTCTAGGATGACTGGCTCAGTCTCTAGAGGTACCTTGTTTTCATATTTTAGGTTATTTCCCACCCAGTAGGTTTTTTTTCCCCCCATTACACATATACTAATTTTATTCGGATCATAACATACTGGTTTAGCTTGGAAATAAGCAACAAAGACAGATTTTTGCTTTCCCCCAACCCATACAGTGCGATTACATTTGTTACAAACTGGAATTGAAACTTCCCCTGTGCTCCTTCGACGTAGTTTATGAGCTGACTGACCGTTTTCAAGGTATGTTTTCGATTTTTTTTTGAATTTGTACACTCCCTGTTGAGTGTTAATATCAGGACAACGTTTATTAGGCTTACCCCTGCTGCAATTCCATGAGGTAGGAGGTGATTCCTCTGGGTATCTGCCACCAGGTTCTCCCTTCCCAGGATTGGAGAGGTTACTGAGGCATGAGACTAAGCTTAGGCTCGCCCAGACTAATCCCACTGCTAGGATCCCTCTGCCGTTCCCAGCGCCCACTGGGTTGCGTCCAGCGGCGGGGTAAATGGTCTTCTTGGCAGCAGGGGTCTTTGTCTGTGGTTTCATACTCAGGCCGAGCTGCATACTTTGTTTAAAATGCCTCACTGGTGTGGTCTCGACTGCGAGGTAGGTTGCTTGATTTATGACACTCAACAATAACAATTCTAGCTTTTTGTTTGTAACTTTCCCTTTAAAGCCTAGATCATTGGATCTAATTAGAATAATCTTAGCCTTGTGGCTATTTACCAGAAAACGGCCAGTCAGGTCTTCCTCCTGCTCAAAACACTTCCCAAACAACCCACTTGGTATGAACAGTTTAACCTTATAACAGTATCTGCAAGGGAAATGTAGGAGAGGATAATAGTTACAATCCGGCATAGAACGCTTGATAGATGTGATCAGTTATTTACTCGACCGCTGTAGGGTTATTTTCAAATTTCCGGGGGGGAGGTGATTTTCCACTCTGGTGATTGGAGATCGACTTTTTTTACCCTTGACGCGTGTGTCCACCCCTTTTCTGCAGTTCGTATAGCGGTATCTGTAGTTAAAAGAACAAGAAAAGGTCCCTCCCATTGAGATGTTAATGGGGCTTCCCGCCAGGTTTTCACAAGCACCCTGTCTCCAGGTTGTATTTTATGTATTGAGAAGCCAAGAGGGCTGTTTTGCATAATTACCCCCTGCTTTCGCAATTCTTCGAGATTTTTATTTAATTCTACTAGATATGGTTGTATTTGTTTATCCTCTAATCTCGGATGCCCTACAGGCATACTATGGGTATAAGGCATCCCATATAACATTTCAAAAGGTGAAAGTCCCGTCTCGGAATGAGGCATAGTTCTTATGTTTAATAAGGCTAACGGGAGGCATTTTATCCATGACATTTTTGTTTCTAACATCAATTTTGCTAATTGGGCTTTCAATGTTTGATTCATTCTCTCAACTTGTCCTGAACTTTGAGGGTGCCACGGGGTGTGGTATTCCCATCGAATGCCCAAAGCATCTGCTAATAGCTTGATGATCTTTGATGTGAAGTGTGTGCCCTGGTCTGAATCGATGTAGCTTACTAACCCATAGCGTGGTATAATTTCTTCTAATAAGATTTTTGATATTGTTTGGGCTGTAGCCCTGGAGCTTGGGAAAGCCTCTACCCAGTGGGTTAGCTTGTCCACCATGACTAATAAGAATTTGTGTCTCCCGACCTTGGGTAGTTCAGTGAAATCTATCTGGATCCTTTCAAAAGGCCGGTAAGCTGCTGGACGACAACTCATTAACCTTTTGGAGTTTGCACGATTTATTTTTTTGCAAGTTATGCACCCTTGCCCCTCTTGTTTAGCTAATTCATATATGCCTTTGCAGCCGAAGAATCTCAGGAATTGCTCTGCCAGAGCCCGGGCCCCCCAGTGTGTTTGTTGGTGTAATCTTTTTAAAATCTTCCTGGTGTATTCCTTTGATAACAATTCTCTCCCATCTGGTAACTTCCACTTACCTCCTTCTAACTGTCCCCCGATCTTCCGATAAGCCTCGATCTCTGTTTCAGAGGGGTGGGGGGGGAATTCCTGAGCGTCCCCTTTTTCAATCTCTGGGGCACTTACCTTTAGCAAAGCAGCGCTTTTTGCCTTTTTGTCTGCTAAATTGTTCCCCCAAGCCCTGAATTGCATCCCGGTTTGGTGTTCTTTTACATGGACTATAGCAATAGCTTCTGGCCCTCTAATGGCTTTTAGGATTTGTTTAATTAATTCTTCATGAATCAATCTCTTCCCTCGTGTGTTTAGCAGGCCTCTTTCTTCCCAGATTTTCCCAAAGGTGTGCACCACCCCAAACGCATATTTGGAATCAGTGAAAATTGTCCCCTTTTTCCCTTCAAGACCCAGCAAAGCCCTGTATACTGCATACAGTTCACATGCCTGAGCTGACCACCCTGCACTCAGGGGTCCAGATTCTATCACTGTTCCCGTCCTTCCATCTATGACTGCATACCCCGATTTTCTTTTCCCATTTATCACCCTGGCAGACCCATCTACAAACCATTTTTCTCCTTCCTCGAGTTCTTCTTCTTCTAAATCAGGTTGTATTTTGGTCTGTAATTCTACCATTTTAACACAGTCGTGGGGAGGATGCCCTTGGACTGCCCCAAACAGAAATTGGGCAGGATTTTGTGCTGGGGTAGTCTTTAGCTCCAGGTCCTGGGAATGGATTAAAATAGCTTCATATTTCAGGAGTCTGGCATCTGTCAGCCACTTGTCAGCTTTTTGCTGCAAGATGCTTCTCACATTGTGAGGGGAGTAAATGGTTAATGAAGCCCCGAATGTTACCTTTTTGGCTTCTTCCACTAATATTGCTACTGCCACAATTGCTTGTAAGCAGGTGGGCCATCCCCTGCTGACAGGGTCCAGGAGTTTGGACAGATATCCAACTGGTTTTTTTTGGCCCCTGCCCAGTCCTGGGTCAGAATTCCGTGGGCAGTGTGGTTGTTCACATCTACAAAGAGCTGAAAGGGCCTTTTTAGGTCGGGGAGACTCAATACTGGAGCTGCCATGAGGGTTTCTTTCAATCTTCTGTAGCTCTCTTCATCTTTTTTGGTCTACTTAAGTCTGTCTGTGGTAAGTTTGTCATATAAAAACTTTACCTTTTCACTGTACCCTTCAATCCATTGTCTGCAAAAGCCCAAAAGTCCCAGCAATTGCCTGACTTCTCTTTTTGTCTGGGGAGGGGGCAATGCAATTATCTCTGCCACCCGGTCTGGGTCTAGTTTCTTTTTTTCCCTTTGTCAGCCAATGCCCCAAGTATTTCACTTCAGGTTCAGTGAATTGTAATTTAGACTTTGAAACTTTCAACTCTCGTCCTCCCAGGAAGTTTAACAGAGCTATAGTTCCAGTCCTTACTTCGTCCTCCTTAGAGCCAGCTACTAATAAGTCGTCTACATATTGCAATAGTTTGGTTCCCTGGACTGGCACAAATTCGCTAAGCACCTTTTCCAGGGCCTGACCAAAGAGATTTGGTGAGTCTACAAACCCTTGAGGAAGAGAAGTCTATCTTAGTTGTTGCTTTCTATGTGTGTCCGGGTCCTCTCATTGGAAGGCAAAATAATCACGGCTTCCCTCAGCTAGAGGACAAGTCCAGAAGGCATCCTTTAGGTCGATCACACTATACCACTTGTCATCTGGGGACACATTATT